CTTGCCACCAGGTTTGGCGGGGGCCTGGACGGGCGTGGCGGCTGCCCTGCGACCGGCTCCACGGCGCAGCTTTGCTGGAGGCCTCAGGGCGGTGGCAGCCCTCGGCGACGGCAGCAACTGCAACTGCACGCCGGGGCAGGATGTACCTGATGGCCTCAGTCTGCTTTGGTCAGCAGAGAACTGCTGGGCAAAGTTCTCCACCGTGTCGCCGAAAAGGCCAGTCTGGGACACGGGGGCGTTCAAGAATCGTGTCTTCTCCGTCTCGCGCATGTCAGCCAGTCACAGCCAGAAATGGCGCTCCTGGACCACCATGGTGGACATCGCACGACCCAGAGACCGCGCTGACCTCCCTCGTGTAAGTCCCTCAGTGCCTTGGCCTGGTGCACTTGCAATCACACCGTAGCATGTAAGGCAGCTTCTCCACAGGTCATATAAGCATCGCTGGCCAGTCGAGTACCTACAGACCCGGGAGGGAAGGCACGGTTCTCCCTGCCGGTTGGAGGCGGTATTAGGACACAACTGCATCGCAACCGACCGCTCCACCGGGGGGACCCTTGTAACCCCCTAGCTGCACCACCATCGAGGGTGGTGAGGGAGGAGGAACCAGCAGATCGGTTTCCGGCAGTAAAAGGTGCCGTCCACGACCTGGTGAGCTCCTCATGCACCTCTGGGAAGAAAGGCACCGAGACGGGGCGCTGAGAACCAGCGCGGAGCACCCCGAGAACCAATCGTGCAACCTTGAGGGCTCGGGACACGGTGGAAGTCTCCACTCGAGCCCTACCCCTACGGCGGCCCGGGAAAGCATAGCCATTATTTCTGGATCCGATTCAGGCATTGCTACAGTCCTGGAGGAGATCATAAAAACTTAAACATTGTTTAATTGGTATCTTTGTTCTATATATTTATTTGTGCTATTTACACAATTTCAAACAGGGCCCATTGGTACAACCTGCACCGGGGCCCCACAAACCCCAGCTACAGCCCTGCTCGAAACCAACCCTCCCTACCCACCTCCTTGACATCAGTATGCTTTATTACATATAACTTCATGTTCTGCAACTTTGCTGTTTGTTGTTTTCTTTCTCTGTTTCAGATCGCCACATCAAGACGAGCTTTTCAAGCAGTCCTTGAACATTCTTATTCACTATCTCCATATTCTATTAATCGCTTTTGTACAGTCTTTGTTCAATGTCATGCTGATGGTTCTGGGGTGTTATTACAGGCAGTTAATGCTAATTTATTGTAAAGCTAACCCCCCAAATGGAATCATACTGCCAAACCAAATGTTGTAAATTAACAACAATAAATGTTTTATTGCCAGAGTGGTCCTGACTGAACTACTATTTACTACTAGAGAGCATGTTGAATGCACTATACTTTGGTACTGCTTTCCAGGTCTGGGTCACATCAGGGCTGTCATTCTTTGCTGTATGTGGGCTGAGGGAAAACTGGAGCTAAGCCAGAAAAAAATGCTATGTAGGATGTCTGTAAATTAAATCTTTGAACGTTTGGAAGCGATACTTTTACATATAAAACAAATTTTGCATCTGTAAAACCATCATGATTGTAAAGCCTGTAATCATTTAATTTTACATTCCATTTACACATTTTGGCAGAAACATTTATCCAAAGCAACACAGTGCATTCAATATATTCATATATTACAGTTTTTTTGCCAGTTCATGCTTTTCCTGGGAAATCGAACCCATGACCTATCATTTGAGCTACAGAAATCACACATAATGGTTTTATTGACACTGATATTGCCCAATATAAAATTAATCAGAAATAGAAAGTATTTAACACTCACCTCAGCTGTGAGATGTAGGGCAGACACTGCAGGAATCCCTTCACTTCACTCTCTTCATCTGTGCAGTCTATCAGCTCTACTGGTTTCTTCTCTGTTTGGAGTTTCAGCACTTCTAGGAGGATGGAGCTCTTTCTCTCTGAGAGCTTTATGCTCCAGACTGCAGGAGCTGACTGATAAATTGGCTGTAATGCTGGAAGGACACTCCTATCTGTTTGACTCTCATAGTCCTTCACATGTGACCACAGATCCAGCAGGAAATTACATTGATCAGGTTTACGGTTTGTGCTGTTTTCACTGCAGGGGAATGAAGTGTAGCTGCACACAGATGTTAATAGTTCAGTGTAATTTTCTCCTTTATTTGCCTTAATCTCTGATGCTGAAACAAACAGATTCAACAGAAACTTTACAGCAGGTTCCGTCTTCCTATAGAAAATGTCATCAAACCTGTGAAGACATACACAAAAACATCACTTTAATGTCTGTTATAGGATAATGACATTTTACAAGCAACTCGTATAATCGTTTAAAAATTAAAACAAGAAAGCTGGTGGAATGACTTTTCATAATTCACTATGAACTATTCAATCAGTGATTAATATAAATTTATATGTTAGTAGTTGTGGCCACCCGAATGAGTGGTGTGTTGTAAATGCAATCCTACATTGAATTTATAATAAAGCAGAGCTGAATGCTAAGGATTTTTTCTACTGACCCAGTCAGGACAGTGGTTCAGATATATTGCCCTTCCAAAAATGTTACTGGCACAACAACAACATCAAAACAATAGAAATGGTTATTGTTCTGGTCATTTTTGACCCAGGTAAACTGCTGCTTCCAAGATGTCAGAAACATCCATTTCCTCTGGCCTCATAATTAGAAGCTGCCACCATGTTAGAAGAAATTTCATTACTGTTTCTTTGCTGTTCACCTTCATTACTGTTTATGTGAAGACGCACACACTGTCTGACCAGCTTCCTGTGCATGCTTTTCAAGTGTGTGCACAGAACAATATTTATCTGATAGCGCCGGTAGTGAATTGTGTTTGCTTCTGCATCTCATTGCAGCGGAACCCTTTAAAAGTGTTTTAACATTTGAGATGCGATCTGGGAAAGCCCGTCGGATGTAGCGCTGGGACGTTTTCAGGAAATTTGAAAAATAGGTTGAATGCCAATTTTTTGTCAAAATTAGGTTTTCATTAAATTATTATTCTATAACATCTTGTCTATCATCTCTGAAAATATCTTGGTAAAATTCACTTGTTTAGTACATAAAAATAGCGATTAATTGCAGCAAGCAGAAAAGACGGCCTTTCACCTAAGAACACGCTGCGGAGGTGCTTTCTCTTAACACCACAAACACAGTTAAACTATCTAAAAAAACCATGTAACATATATAGGCCTAATAAAGGTGCATCAATGCACATTTCCCACCAGGCCAGTCCTGTGTAAACTATGGCACACAAAGTTTTTTTTATTTTTTTATTACACATTTTGGCAGAAACATTTATCCAAAGCAACACAGTGCATTCAATATATTCATATATTACAGTTTTTTTGCCAGTTCATGCTTTTCCTGGGAAATCGAACCCATGACCTATCATTTGAGCTACAGAAATCACACATAATGGTTTTATTGACACTGATATTGCCCAATATAAAATTAATCAGAAATAGAAAGTATTTAACACTCACCTCAGCTGTGAGATGTAGGGCAGACACTGCAGGAATCCCTTCACTTCACTCTCTTCATCTGTGCAGTCTATCAGCTCTACTGGTTTCTTCTCTGTTTGGAGTTTCAGCACTTCTAGGAGGATGGAGCTCTTTCTCTCTGAGAGCTTTATGCTCCAGACTGCAGGAGCTGACTGATAAATTGGCTGTAATGCTGGAAGGACACTCCTATCTGTTTGACTCTCATAGTCCTTCACATGTGACCACAGATCCAGCAGGAAATTACATTGATCAGGTTTACGGTTTGTGCTGTTTTCACTGCAGGGGAATGAAGTGTAGCTGCACACAGATGTTAATAGTTCAGTGTAATTTTCTCCTTTATTTGCCTTAATCTCTGATGCTGAAACAAACAGATTCAACAGAAACTTTACAGCAGGTTCCGTCTTCCTATAGAAAATGTCATCAAACCTGTGAAGACATAAGCACAAACACCACTTTAATATCTATTGTACAATAATATGACACATATGAAAGCTAGTGGATATATATATATATATATATATATATATATATATATATATATATATATATGTGTGTGTGTATGTATCCACTAGCTTTCACATGTGTGAATGAAAAACCTGTGTGAGTGGTGTGTTGTCAATACAATCCAACACTGAATACATAATAAAGCAGGGCTCAATGCTAAGGATCGTTTCTACTGATACAATCAGGACAGTGGTTCAGATATTTTTTTACTTGCCCTTCCAAAAGTTGTATTAGCCCCACAAAAAATAAATAAATAAAACATATATATATAGAGAGAGAAATGGCTATTGTTCAATGAAACAGCTGTTTTAATCTGTGGTACAGCAAATCTAAAGAAAATGTGAACAACAGTTTGTCAGATAATACCTAAGGTCAGTATAATTGGACAGTGGAAACTGAAGAACAAATGTTTTTATAATTATTTTTAGTTGTCAGTCTTATCCTGAGGTAGAACTGCAAATTTTTTCTACTGTAGTGTTATGTTTTATTGACCTCTATATATAAACACAGATTAGCCAAAAACATTATGACCACCTATCTAATAACTTGTAAAACCTACTTTAGCACACAGAACAGCAGCCACATGGTGAGCGATTGATTCGACGAGGTGGCGATAGGTCTCCTGGGGTATCTGGTACCCTAATGTCAACAGCAGGTCTTCCAGTTCCTGTACACTGCAGGGTGGTGGTGATGTAGCGTGAACCCACTTTTGACTGGGTTTGTGTCAAGTGAATTTGGAGGCCAAGGCATTAGCAGAAATGCCTTGGTCCGTAGTGATGTTCAGATACTTGACAGCTTTCAGGGATTGTGCTATTGGGATAATGGGGCCTAAAGTGTCCCAAGAAAACATTGCCCACAGCATAACACCGCCGCTGTTGGCCTGTGTCTGCCCAACAGTGCATCCACGTGCCATAGACTCTGTTGGTAATCGGTGTATCCGTATTCGCCTGTCGACGTGACGCACCAGGAATCTTGATTCGTCAGACAAGACTACTTCAAATCATCCATAGTCCAATCTCGATGATGTTGGGCCCATTTCATGCATTGTTGGCGATGGTGTGCAGTTAGCATGGGGACCGGCTGGGTGGTCGGCTACACAGGCTCATACACAGAAGGCTGCAATGACCTGTTTGTTGTGACACATCGCCCTGGTCACCACTGTTGCAGCTGCTGGGAATTTGTCACACTGTGACCCTGCGGTCGCTGTGAATAACGTGCGACAGTCTCTGCTCCCCTCTGGCATCAGTGAGCTGCAGGTGAGACATGGCTGGATGATGGTTCGTCGTTTGGCCATCAGTGCACCACTTTTGATATGTACTCACTATAGCGGCATGTAAACAAACCACAAGGCGCCCCGTTTCCAATATCGAAGTTCCGAGGCACTGTGCCATCACAATTTGTCCTTTATCAAACTTCGATAAATCGGCAGCTTTTCCCATTCTGACACCGAACACTGACCGAAAGCCGGTCCTCAGGTGGTATATATACTGCTCTGTAAACTGCACCTGCGGCACCATACGGTTGCCAGGCACGCTCACTGCTCTAGACTGGGAGTGGTCATAATGTAATGGCTCATCAGTGTCTATTTTAAGTGCAAGACAATGCAATAATAAAAAAAATTATAATAATAATTGTTAAATAAATGCTGCATTCTGAAATTATGATTTCTTGCAGTAGCCAAAGTTAGAATACTAACCTCAGCTGTGAGATGTAGGGCAGACACTGCAGGAATCCCTTCACTTCACTCTCTTCATCTGTGCAGTCTCTCAGCTCTACTGGTTTCTTCTCTGTTTGGAGTTTCAGCACTTCTAGGAGGATGGAGCTCTTTCTCTCTGACAGGTTTATGCTCCAGACTGCAGCAGCTGACTGATAAATTGACTGTAATGCTGGAACGACACTTCTGTCTGTTTGACTCTCATAGTCCTTCACATGTGAGTACAAATCTAGTAAAAAACCAGACTGATCTGTTGGTTTTTCATTAACAGAGTGAGAGTAGGCATAGTTTTTTCCACAGGGGAAATTTGTGTAGCTGCAGACAAATGTCAACAGTTCACTGCAGTTCTCTCCAGTAGCTAAAATACACTGTGATGCCCAAACAATTAAATTCCGCAGACAGAGCAGAGCCGACCTTTTCTTCTCACCTTCTTCTAAAACATCTTTATAAAACCTGAGTAAACAAACATAACCACACAAAAATACACTTCACTGTCATTGGGTAGAAGTAGTACAGCTGATTTTGATTTAATTAAGGGCATATCAAATTATATGAAATCTGCAGTAGCAACTTTTAGTCATTTGCAACTTAATTTGAATAATAAAGAGCTAATTTCAAGCAACTCTGTATTTGCTTGTAAATAGTCACTGTAATGGTATGAAGCAGTTCCAGGTATTGATCACATTACTATACAATAGGACTTGAAAAGCTAAATTTCTCAGGAGAGGTGGTAGCATCACTATTTTTGTACAAGAGGACTTGAAAAGCTATATTTCTCACATAGAGGTGGTAGCATCGCTATTTTGTTAGTTATACCATTGAGTATTAGGGTTAGAGTATAGAGTTAATCAGTAACAGAAACAGCCCAAGCTGTCATTGCTTGTTCAAAAGTTCACGCTATTCTCTGGGCAAGATACTAAATCACTGGCGTCAGAAAATAGTTCTCACCAAAGAGAGTTTCAGGGAAGAAAACCTGAAAAAAATCTGAAACTTGAAAAAAAAAAAAAAAAAAAAAATACATCTTTATTATATCTTAATATATTATTAATTTCTTAATATATTATTATATCTTAATATATTAACCATTTGCACACACAAGCTCCTCCCGACTGCAGCCCGATTTACAAGCCACTTTTGCCTGTTTTTTTTTAATTAAATTTCTTTCTTTTTTCCCCCTTATGAACAATTTTTGGTACACGACAAAAGCTCCTTGTGGTTTTTCGGTTTGATTGATTTGAGCAACCATAAATAACGCAAAACATAAACATTTTGAGTTTGTGATAGTGTTTCTATCATTAAAATCTTTCCCAAAAAGACTCATGGCTGTATAAGATCAAAAGGGTGCTTCTACTAAATACTGAGCAAAGGGTCTGAATACTTAGGACCATGTGATATTTCAGTTTTTCTTTTTTAGGGGGTTTGAATACTTTCCGTACCCACTGTATATATACATACACTGTGTTTAATATATATATATATATATATATATATATATATATATATATATATAAAAAATATATTTTTTTT